TTTTTTTTTTTTTTTTTTTTGCGGTACGCGGGCCTCTCACTGTTGTGGCCTCTCCCCTTGCGGAACACAGGCTCCAGACGCACACGCTCAGCGGCCATGGCTCACGGGCCCAGCCGCTCCACGGCATGTGGGATCCTCCTGGACCGGGGCACGAACCCGTGCCCCTGCATCGGCAGGCGGACTCTCAACCACTGTGCCACCAGGGAAGCCCTGAACCTTTAATTTTATATATTGTTCATTTCTTTTTTTTCCCCATTCCTAGTTCTCTTTCTGATTTAATCACACGCTCAGGGAAAAAGAGAGACACTAATATTTTGAGACACCATTAGAATTTGTGTGTCTCTGGTTAAAATTAACAGTGCAGTACTGAGGGGAAAATTTATTATCTAGTACATGTGAATACGTATGCTATCAGACTTCCTACTTCAGTCCTTAAAAGAAATCTGATTTAGTAAATGTCACAAAACAGGGGTTTCATAATATAAAATAAATGTTAGAGAGATACTGCAAAATGGAAATAGTGACTATATCTGGGTGTTGGGATTACTTAAGACTTTTAAAATTGTTTGCATTTTGTAATTTTCTACAACGTGCATATTGTATTTAATGTGCATGTAATAACAGTAATTACATTTATGAGCATATACACATATATTTAGTTCAGTTTATTATATACTATGTATAAAGTACAAACAGTTGCCTGATTAGTAAACAGTCTGGTTAATAAATAATATTTTTATCGGAATTATGGAGAAAAATTCTGACATTAATCAGATTTAAGTGTCACTTATCCCCTTAACTTTCTATAGAGAAGAGAGTGAGAGGTTAAGGGAGTTGCAGTATTTTCAATATTAGTCTTTTAAAAGTATTCTGTAACAAGAGATGTATGAGGAGGTGGTGATTCTGGGTGACGATTGTAAGTTCCCTGTATATAAAGCAGAAGTTATAGGTTCATCTGTGATGCCAGAACTTCTCCCATGCAGATATGAATTAAGAAACCACCACTTTGAGATGTTTCTAGAGCAGTGGTTCTCAACGAGGGTGATTTTGCTCCCAGGGGACATTTGGCAGTGCTAGGAGACATTTGTAGTTGCCAAAACTGGGGAGAGGTGCGTGTGCTGCTGGTGTGCTGTGAGTAGAGGCCGGAGAGGTGGCTGAACCTGGTGCGAAGTATAGCCCCACCCCATGCTGGAGAAGCGTCTGACCCCATGTGTCAGTAGAGGCGATGCCGGGGAACACTGTCTGGAGTGGTTGTGAATGCTTTGATTGCAATAGCTCTGTTGATCCTTGGCTTTAAAGTCCATCCCCTAGGTAATGGGTCTGTCTGTCAGTAGTGAGAGCGCTCAACAGAGAGCACAACTCCAGGCTACCGGACATGAAATTTGAAGCTGAAAATGTGCATGGAGTGGACAGTTGGGGAAGAGAGTTAGTAAGAATTGTGATGTGTTGGACTTGGGACAAGAAATACGTATTTTGAGGAAGAAAAAAAAAAGAGCAAATATGGTAATTCATTTCAGTAGAACATCTGCCACTTTTTCCTCGGAAGCATAACTTCAGGTCTTCCTTACGTTCACTTGGGGTGTTATTTACCCCTGTGAACAAGAGCAAGTCTGACCTGAGCTGAAAGTCCAAACTGCCAGGATCAGAGGCACACGGGGCAGGGGGAAGCAGGGTTGGGTGGTGGCCGGGTGGTGCACAGCTGGGGAGTGGGGGTCCAGTCAGGCAATTCAGCCTTGCAACCCTAACAGTCACTTTGCCCACCTCTCTCCCTTCGGGGTAGCAGAAGGGCTCTGGCGGATTTTGCTTTCTTACATTAAAAAGCCAGTCACGCTCAGATCATCTTTTGCTCTGAAACTCAGTCTAGTCTGCCTGTGAACTTTCTGTGTGAGCTTCCCCACTCAAGGACACCATGTGGACTTCCTTAGCCAAGGATTTTCTGAGCTTTCTATCTTGCATAGTAGAGATCAAGAAAAATATAAACCTGTCCAGGCAGCATCTTTAGATTAGGAAGAAACAGGGTGAAGAAAAATGAAGAGGTAGGTGAGAGAAAGAAGTACGAAATTAAATCCTGTAACCCAGGTATTAAACAACTGCCTCTAGATAGAGATAAAAATAGATAGACGGATAAGCAAAAAAATTCCTTAAATTAAAAAAAAAAATCCTCACCCTGTGTTTATAGAAAGAAAGGCCTTGGATTATTACACTTCATCTATATTTTATCACAGAGGGCCAACAAGTTCAAAACAAAAGAGAGGGAGAATCATTTCAGGATTTAGAATATGATATGTTCAATTTCATGTTCTGCAAGGTCTTTTATCGAGAAGTAGAAATCAAGACTTCTGATATTATCTTCCACATGTATTGTATTTATTTATACAATAGAAAATGCCACACCGGTATATTCACTTATGTCTACAAGCGGACTTTATATTGTACTTAAATCTGATTTGGTTTAAGAGGGTTGACGTTTTAAATTTAAGAAAAAAGTAGAGGACCAAACAAAATGCTTTCTAAAATTTACAGGGATTTTTCCAAAGGATATCTTTATCCATATCACTGGTTGAGAGAATATTGTATTCAATGTCAAAATAATTTAAACTATCAAAAGAGAAGAATTGAAAAGACTATTTCCTCAGCTTATGCTGGCTTCCTATACAAAGCTCAGATAAAATGTTTTCATTTCATGTTTAATTTTCAACATGGAAATTTGCCTACTGAAAGATGCTATAAGGTAAGGACAAACCTGCCATAGAAAGTATATCTTTTAGTTTCTAGATCTTTTATGTAGCTAAAATTCAACACATTAAAAGCCAAAGTGCCAGCATGGTATACTTATACAGGTTGTCTTGTAAAACATTACATGACACAGATCAAAAAGCTGTCACATTGCACCAAGCTTTGACGGTCACTGCATATCGTTTTTAGAAACTTACAGTTTACATGGGTAAAATTTAGTATTCCGCAGAAAGGACTGGTTGGTTGAATCCGGCCCATTATCTTTTGCAACTCACCTTTTAAAAAATATCTACTTCTCCCTCCTGCCAACACTTAAGGAATGTGAATACGGATGATCCATCCTTTTGTTTTCTCAACATAGCTGCTTAGAATGATGGCACCCTAATACTGCCCATGTGAATGTGCACCCTACAGAATAGTACAGTCATTAGAAAGCAGGGAAGGGAGGTTGACACAGTGAGTGCCCGGTGGAACAAACCGCTGTCCTCTGCGACAGCCGGAGAGAGCTCAGGACAGTGCTGCGCTCCGGGTGCGCGCGCACGGGGAGGCGCTGGCCCCGGCACGGTCTCCTGCCCTCGCAGCGCTGGTGGGAGTGAGGGGCGAAGTGGGCAGGGTCTTCAGATAAAACGAGACGGCTGTTTGCCCCCAGCACTGATCCACGTGAGGCGGGGTCGAAAGAATCCCTGGTTTTCCCAGCGCGACTGAGGCTTTTCCTTCTCGGAACTCCGAGAGCCAACGCTAAGGGGCACCAGAGGCTCGGGTTGCCGCGGCTGCCACCCGGGCAGCCTGATGGCCCGCTGCTGTGGAAGTCCTGGGCTATAGCAAAACCCCGCTCGGTGGGGGCTGGGGCACAGGCCTTCGGAGCGGGAGTCCCGGGAGCTTGGGGTGCTGCAGGCTGGAGGGGGAATCCCCCGAGGTCAGGGTGTCGAACTCGAAACTCTGCGCTGGGCAGTGAGCCTTGGTAGCCGAGGTCTTACTAGTTTTTCCTAAGACTCTATGAGGCCACTTCTAATCTCCTTCTACTTTATGAAAAATGTCGCTGTCCTATATACAGCTAAAGATGTCGATGCGCGCACATATCCCTTCCGTATACTAAAATCATTTAAGATGATTTGATGCACGGGAAGCTGTTGATCTCTAGTTGTCTAGGGATCCTGAGGCACATGCAGAGGGATCAGATGTCACCTCCTCCACCTCCGCCAGCCAATTCATGTTCACTCCCATGCCCCCAACCTTTCATTTGAAGTCGACTATTCTTTAGTTAAGGAGGTGACACCCAGACCCTCGCCCCGCTAGAAGCCTCTAACCACCCGCCGGCAACTCGGACTTTTTCCGGAGTCAGAGAGGGAGCGGGAGATGCTGAAGAAATTTGCAGGCATCCTCAACCTTGCAGTCCGCATTCTGACTTTATCCAGTGATAACAGTAAGAAAAAACCCAAAACGTGGGGAGGGGTGTGCGGAAGGGAAAGCGCGAGCGTCCGAGCGCAGCAGTGCAGGCCCCCCCACCCGCGCCGGACCCCGGCGTCCTCGCCCCCCTTCTCCGCCCCGGCCGAGCCCCGTGCCAATGCGCCAGGATGGAGACATCTCGGCGCGGGAGGAGATGACGCAAAACCCAGCGCTCCCCCCCAAAAAAGTGTTTCTCCAGGACGAAGATGGCGGCAACTTAGCCGGGGACTGAAGATGACTGTGGCTCTCCGGAGGCCCAGCCCCGGCGATTCGGCCCCGAGGTCTGGGGGAGGCGGCGTCAGCAGTCGGAGCCCGGCGGCGGCTGCGCCCGCGGGCAGACCTGCGGCGGCGGCGGCGGCAGCGGCAGTTGGAGCGCGGGGTGGGGGGTGGGGGGGAGGGAGAGCCCTGCCGGCGGCGGCGGCCCAGGCTCCGGACTCGCGGAGAGAGAGCGAGAAGTAGGAGCAGGAGGAGGAGGAGAGGAGGGAGCTGGGGAGGCGCTCTGGTCGCCGCCAGCGGGCAGCGGAGACGCGGCATGCCCCCGGCGGGCGAGAGAGGGCTGTCCTCGGCGGGGCCATGGGGACGCGCGCCCTGACAGTGCCTGGGTGAGAGGGGCAGCGCCAGCCACTCCGCCGCCTCCACCATCACCTCCTGCACTCCGCTCACCGCCGGCCGCCAGCCCCAGCCTCCGACTGTCTCTCCCCCCTCCCTCCCTCCCTCTCCGCCTCTCTCTCTGCATTATTGTTTCCCACTCTACAGAGGATGGGGTCGGCTGATGATTAGGTCGGAAGCAAGTCATATCTTCCTCCAAAGCCTGGTAATATTTATGTAGGCAAAACGAGAGAGAGAGAGAGAAGAGGGAGAGAGAAAGAGGGAGAGAGGGAGAGGGAGAGGGAGAGAGAAGAAACGGGAGGAGGGGATAAGGAAATTAAACCCTTTAAGTCAATGCATATCGTGGTGACACCGGCACAGGAGCCCTCACGGTGGAGTCGGCCAGGGCTGTGCGTTCCCAAAATATGACCAGGGGTGCTTGGATGTGTCGGCAGTATGACGACGGGTTAAAAATCTGGTTGGCGGCACCCCGGGAGAACGAGAAACCGTTCATCGATTCAGAGAGGGCTCAGAAATGGCGACTGTCTCTGGCATCTCTCTTGTTTTTCACAGTCCTGCTCTCTGATCACTTGTGGTTCTGCGCCGAGGCCAAGCTGACCCGGACCCGGGACAAGGAGCAGCAGCAGCAGCAGCAGCGGCAGCAGCGGCAGCGGCAGCAGCAGCAGCAGCGGCAGCGGCAGCAGGAGCCCTCCTGGCCCGCGCTCCTGGCGAGCATGGGGGAGTCCTCGCCCGCCGCCCAGGCGCACAGACTCCTCGCCGCCTCCTCGTCCCCCACCCTGCCCCCCTCCCCGGGAGACGGCGGCGGCGGCAAGGGCAGCCGAGGCAGAAACAGCCGGGGCAAGGCTCTTATTCTGGGCAACTCTGCCAAGCCCGTGTGGCGCCTGGAGACCTGTTACCCCCAGGGCGCCTCCTCGGGCCAGTGCTTCACGGTGGAGAGCGCGGACGCCGTGTGCGCCAGGAACTGGAGTCGGGGGGTGGCGGCCACGGGGGAGGAGCAGCAGGTGAGGGGCACGCATCCAACTCCGCTCTGGAACTTGTCGGATTTTTACCTTTCATTTTGTAATTCCTACACACTTTGGGAGTTGTTCTCGGGGTTGTCCAGTCCCAACACTTTGAACTGTAGTCTGGATGTGGTGCTCAAGGAGGGCGGTGAGATGACCACTTGCAGGCAGTGCGTCGAGGCTTACCAAGACTACGACCACCACGCTCAGGAGAAATACGAAGAGTTTGAAAGCGTGCTCCATAAGTACTTACAATCGGAGGAGTACTCGGTGAAATCGTGTCCTGAGGACTGTAAGGTAGGAACAGTGGATTTTCCCCATCCTTGTGCTTTTATATCCGTGTGTGTTTGGTTGAGGCGTCTTCTAGAGTGTTAAAATGTTTTTTGGACTCTGGTTTTTTTGTTACTTCACCGTTGTTTTTGTGGTTATAAGAGCTTGACTTGCTGCTTGATTTGGGACTATCCCGTGGATTGCTGGTGGACTGGTGCCTTCTTCTGGGATCCTGGGAAGGTCAGGAAGACCCTGGTCTTCTGAGATAATAAAGCCAGTGCTATGGAGTTGGTTCAAACTCTGTTGCCTTTTTTTTTTTTTTTTTTTTAATGGAATTTGAGTGAAGCTTGTTAGGGAGACAGGGATGGGATTGCATACTGATGACTGCAGCGAAAATGAGAATAGTCTGAGACAGGCATGTATGGTCTGGCTTATGGGCCTTACACATGAGCTCTCTGATTGTGACATCATTAAGCTGGTTGGCCGAAGGGACAAGAGAAAGTGTTTGTGGCTGTTTATGTAGGAAGAACTAAAAAAGTGTTTTACTTGTTTTACAGGGGTAGTTCTGGCCATTTGGAAAGTCTGTGGGCCTACCTAAGCGTATTTACTCACATAAGTTTCCTGTTTTCTCTTAGGAACTTGTATAATTATTGATCGGAGACTCATTATGAGTAGAAAGCTTTAATTAAGTATCTGGTGATAACTGATCAATGTTAGATTTTTTATCAGCCACCTTATGTAATTAGCTTGAATTTTCAGGATGCTCTCCAGTGGTACTAATTGGCAAATGCTTGATCTATGAATGAAAAATACTGAACTCATTAATAACGTATATTACCTTTAACTCCTTCCTATTAATATAATAATGGCTATAATCCTTGCTGATTCACAAAGAAGTGTATGCAAGTTTTTTAAGAAATGGCTAATGCAACCATGGGCGCTTGTCCTAGTAGAAGTGTTGCTGTCCGTGGTGCTGAAATTTGCTCAAGAGCTCTGTTGAAGATGAAGATACTGCAGTGACCTTTTAGTAGGGAAGAAATGATGACAGAATCTCAGTAAGCCTTAATGTTTTGTTCCAAAGGTATTTTCTTAAAGAGTGCAATAAAATAGTATTGCTTTTCAAAATAAATAACACACCACATTCTCTCTCTCTACCTTTCTCTTCATTACTTCCCCAGCCTCTCCACAGGAAGACAGCAAATGTCCCTTTTTGGCCTCACTTGCTTTGTACCCAGAAAGCGTAATCAAGGGCAGTATGGATCAAAAGATTCTGTGATGCTTTCACAAGAGAGCTGGCCTAAGGGATACCTACTTAAAATGAACATAGTTCAAGGACTGTATTTTAGTTTGGATTGATTAGTTGTGCTTTTGACAACTAAGCTAAACTAAAACTAAACTTGTTTTGCCAACATTCTTTAAGACCAGAAACATATCTTCTTTGCAAATAATAATATTGCATATACAACATTAATTTAGAATGCTGCTTCATTAGATAAATGGATTTTAAAAGTTTTTTACATATTTTTCTTAACCATACCCCGTAAGTCATGCCTGGGAATTAAACTTAATCTTAATGGTAGAAGTTAATAATGAATGACTAGTGTATTTATTGCAGTTATTTATTTTGACAAGGTACGTTGCATCAGAATTGCAAGGAAACTGACGTGCCTGCTAATTCTACTACTAATAAAAAGCTTGCAAAGGTTTCAGTATATTTATGTTTAAAAGTGATCCCTTGTAATAATCTGAATTTGCTTGCTTCCTTGAATGTAAACTCTCATAGAAATTTCTAGTAATTCCAATTTGTATAGTTTCAGTATTTAAATGATAGTCTACATTGTCAATATGCTAGAGCATATTTTCAAATAAGTCTGTCAAATATGTTTTTGTTTAAATATTCAAGTTTTAAATATGTATAAATGTATATTTTCCTCTTGACCTGAAATCATCATCAACTTTATACTTATATCATCATAGCTATAAGGTACAGTGTAGGTTAAATTAATGTGTAATGTTATGAACTACTTCTGGGTTGTGTTCTCATATAAAGTAGTAGTTGTTAGCTGTATACACAAAGGCATATTATAAAAATCTGAACTCCTTTTTAGAAACATTTCTTCACACTGAAAAGTAAACACAGACATTTGAGTTTTTCATCTCCACAACACAGGATTTATTACTTGTGATGCCTTGTAGCTATTTCTTGGTTGTTTGTTTGTCAGCTGGAAACACTTGAAACATTTATTCCACGATAACTGTTCTCACACAGCTTCAGATTTTAGGTGCCAGGGGTTGGAGGGGGGCAGTGTTAGGTGTTCTTGGTTGATAACTCACAAATCTGTTGATTAGCTCCTGAGCTTAATATACAGCTTCTTTATGATTCTGCAAAACCACAAACACATCCACATACCAAGTATATTACACATGGCTTAGAATGCTACTTGTAGTCTTTGAAGAATGTGTCTGAGTTTCTTTCTGAACATTTTTACTTATTTCAAACATACTTATAATTATGAAATGATGACTGTCTTCAGGAGCAATGTTCAAGATATACAGTCTGTGCAGAATTTTCCATATTGAAAGTAAATGCATTATATTTCTGGAATTGGTAATATATTCATGAAAAAATCCAATTTAATAGTTTATTAGTGTATTTATAAATTTATGGACAGGAGAATATATGCAATAATATTAGCTGTACAAATTAGTAGAATCCATATTTGAGGAGCAATATATTAACTTTGTTATATATAATTAAATGATTAATATAGTGATTTCTGACTTTTAAAAGTGAGGTCATGTTATTACCCTCTAGTTTTATAATCTCCCCCATTAAAAAAAATGCCACATTCCATATACGTATAAAATTAAAATGGATTAAATTTAATTTTTATTTAACTTGATTTAAAGGGCTTTTGGCCCATTATACTGAAAACAAAACAAAACAAAACAAAAAACACCTTAATATTGATCTAATCCAATCATGTTGTCTTGGGCCCGTAGTAGTTGGAGATCAAATATAGCTTGGATTTTCTTTAGCGAACCTTTGTTTGCAACATATAATAGAAATCATTTGCACCCAGGAATATTTTTTAATATTCATAGAAATAGCTGGTTTAATTTTTAAAGTAAATATACACTTTTATCAGGGAAGTAAATTATAGTAAAATAAAGAACAAGAACTTCTGCATGTATCATTTAGACTATAGCATTCAAGCTGCTATATTACATAAATCAAGTTGCAAAAATTTGACAGTAATTCTTCTCTGGATTTTGCAGTGTTATTCAAACTAATGTTTTTGACATACAATAAGAATCTGAAAACCTTCAAATTGGCTGGTAATATTAAAAAATACACTATTCTAAGCTACAGAATTACATATGTATATTATTAACATGCCTGAATTTTTGCTTAAATATGCCATTCTTTACCTCCTAAGCATTCTTGAAATTACATATTACAAAACTGGGATATGTAGGGAATATAAACTTCTATGTTACAGTTAAACTTTTGTTAATGATAGTTTTATTGACTTACTATTCCTTAAGACAGATGGTCAGGGAAAGTGGGTGTGAGATTAGATTCTAACATAAATCACTGCATCATCTGTATTTTAGTTCTCTCCGAATAGATTCTAATCTTTATACTATCAAGAATGTATGCATTCTTACATTTTTATATTATAATTTTGTATTAAAGCGAATTATATTGCCTATTTTTATTTAACAGACAATGACTAAAAGAATACTCTGCCAGTGTTCGGCATATATAACAATCGTGATACTCAGGGCTTTCTGTATTGTTTGCAGAAATGACTCAGAAACATTAACCAGTTTGAGGACACAGAATTTGGGTTACATAATGTGCAAGTTAAAAAAAAGGCATTTTTAAGTCCTTATTTATTTTGATGTCATATACTATAGATTCTTAAAAATAGTTTTTATAAGGAAATAAAATATCTAACAATTCTTTCCACTTAAATATTGAATCTAAAATATTATTTTGCTCTTACTTGATTAAGTGCTGTTGTACATATTATGACACTGTCCAGAGTGTGGAATACGTCTGCAAATAGATCTCTTTTATATTATACCACTGTGTTATTTTTAAATCATATTTTTATAGTTGAATTGCTTCTCTGTAAAATCAAACAGTCTAACCTTCAGATGATCACATTAACCATTAATAAGGCCATTTATAGTATCAAAGCCACTTTCATAACTGTTTTTATAACCCAGATTTTCATTTTCATATTTTTGCTCCATATATAACTACTGATTTATGATATGTGTTTTATTTTTATCTTAATTTTATTCTATTTTTATCAAATTTTATCTTAATATTATATGCTGTTGCTTTATAGACCAAAGAATGATTATTCTTTTTTAACTTTGGACTTGTAACTGGGTCAAATTAGTAGCTATATAGGGCATAACCACAAAGTTTTAATAATTGCTGTTATACCTTGGTTTTAACCACTTTAATTAGATGAGATTGGTGTCTGCATATGCAAGGTGAATTAAAATATGGAGGAAAGGAAATCAAATAATTTTCTCAGTCTCATGCTCCCCCACAAATAAATTATAATCCATTAAGATATATTTTCATACTAGATTGAATATAAAAGAACAAATATACGGATAACTGTTTGAAACACAGTACTATTTTGGTTTGAATTATCTGACCTATTGCTTTCATTTCAATTCCCAGTTTCCTTTTTAATCTTAATCTTCTAAGTTGACCTCACATTGACTAGGCTCCAGTCATGTTGTTGTGTGCTTTCTACTGATTTACACTTAAAAGATATTTCTTCGATATCAGTAAACATTTACTCTAGATCAGTGGCCTTGGGGTCACATTAGAATATCCTGGGAATCTTTGAAGACACCCGCAGCCCCAGGAGATTCTGATTTCATTGGTCTGGCTTGTGTCATGAGCTTGGGATTTTCCAGTTTCCCTGGTGATGTGCAGCCCAGGTTGAGAACCACTGTTCTAGTTGAGTGCCAAGCAAAGTGGAAAGACCTTT